GCAAGCACACCATAAATACTGACTCCCTCTCCCTCCACTCTTCTGTCCTGCATATCTCTCTCTGTTTACTCGAGGAGCCAGATACTGCACTGGCAATACCCCTCAGTTGGTCAGGTGCCATCTGAGACGTGGATGTGCTCTTTAGGTGGCTTTTGTCCACCCAACCTAAAGCGGAACACCCAGGCTTCCCAGTTGCTCCTGTAGCCCAACACAGGTCCAGGCTGGTACAGGATTTGCCAGTATGTGTATGGCAGCTATCTCATTACCTGTGTGCATGAATGATGACCTAGCGCTGATCAGATGAACCCGGCAGGCCATTCAAACCACTCTGTTCCTCTCCTTAGCCCTGACCGCTTAAGAGGGGCAGTGGGGATGTCCCGTGATAGAGGTCTCTCAAAGCATCCCTGCCACCTCTGTGGAACCTCCTCACTATCAACCGGCACAGCTCAAGATGGTCTGAGTCTCAGAGGCAGCACTGTCACCCTGGGCAACCTCTGCCCACAGCTGCCCATATGTCTTTGCACTCTGTGTATCCTCACGCACGGAAGGAAGGGTGTCTGTCCACTCTGAGGGTGACTTACATGTGTGGAAGAAGACTGGGAACTCTGTCCCCACAAACCTGTCAGTGCCTCCCAGCCTCAGCATTTCATCAGGCATTGCTGAGGCCTATGCTGTCCTCAGTGTCCAGCAGAGCCTACTGTCCCTCAGTCTGGCAGGCACAGACCAGGAAAGGCATCTGTGAGGAAGGTGTGCACAGGAGCCTCAGGATAGCCCCTCTTGGTAGTTTCCATTTGAAACCCTGAAAAGCGCAGTCTTAATGTGGAGAAAGAAATGCAAACCCCATTAAGGGTCATGGAACCCCATACTGCTGCCCTGAAAAGGGAGCTGCCCTCCCCTTTCCCAGCAGAGACCTGACCAGCCGGCCTAAAATCCCTACACACCAGGTCTTGCTCACCCTTCATGCATGTTTACCATACTTTCCTCTCTTGCACCTTTGCCTAGGGGACTCTGAGCTGGTTCTTGTAGGTACTTCTGACCACTCTTTTGTGAAGGCTGCTGCCCTGACCTGCATAAGCTCCGGTCCCAGAGATGACAGGCATGTTACACGGCTTGTCTTGCTCTCTTTTCTTAGCATGGGACATCCAACACTCTGGGCAGGGCTGTGTCTGAAGAGGGCTGTCCAGACTGCTGGGCCTACTGCATGGAGACTGCAACTTTGAGGAAGGTGGCTAGAGGACAGTATGCAGAGGTTCTCCTGTAGAGTTGTCTATGATGGGGAGGAGACAGGGAAACCAGGATGCTTTAGGGTCCCTTAGCAGGTGTGGCTACCCTGATCACTCTAGGAATATCAGTGCAGTCGGGGAGCCCAGATGTGGATGAAGGGAGCCAGTGTGCTTTGGGGGCCCTTGGTACCTTCAGGCTCCCACCTGCAATGGGACTTTTCACTCCAGATGGGGACCACAGAGTGAAGTGCCCTTGAAAATGTCAATCATTGAGGAAAGCAATTCAGGCTTTATGAAACTAGATGAAAAAAGTCGGCCTATATCAGGCCTGCTTAGACCTAGCAACTGACCGAATGGATCCCCAGATGTCACATATCACCCTTGCCCTAGCCCTCCTTGCCCCCTTCTTCTAGCACTCAGAGTATGAAGCAGTTTGCTCTTTCAGCTGCTTTCTATACACAGAGGGTATGGGTGATGTTGGCAGAGGCCGCTGGTTCATTTCCCAACCACCTTGACTTGAAATAATCACACAGAAATCTGTATTAATTGCAATATTGTTTGGCCAATAGCTTAAGCATATTTCTGGCTAACTCTTATATCTTAAATTAACCCATTTTCTATTAATCTGTGTATCATGGCTTACCAGCAAGGTTCCAATGCATATGTCTCCTGTGAGCGGCTACATGGCTTCTTCCTGACTCCACCTACTCTCTCACTGGATCTCTCCCAGCCTGGTTTTTACTCTGTTAAGCCATCAGCTGAAAACAGCTTCTTTATTAACCAATGGCAATAAAACATATTCACAGCATACATCACCTACCACATCAGGGCAGGACTAGGGGCAGCGTGCCAGGACCTGGTGCAACGAGAAGGTTCTGGAGCATTCACAGAAGGTAGGACTCTCCTGTGGCAGGTACAGAGAAGGGTTCTCGACATCTCCATACAGCTGTGTGCAGAGGCCACAGGGATCATGGAAGCCTCAACTACGGATGTAGACACTTCTTCTCTGGTCATTCTGAAGACTGGGGTCTTTCCTGTTCATCTGTCACTGGCCCCGGACACAGGCATTGCTGTCAGATGGGTAGCAACTGAAGGACTTAGTCCTTAGGGAAATGGTCAAGGGATCCAGAGGGAAGCTCCAGGGAAAATATCCCATAAAGGTCCTAAGGAATTCCTAATGGGGCAGAGAGCCGTGGAAGGGAACGTGAAGAGGCAACCAATGAGTAGGACCTGATGGGGATAAAGGAGCCATAGTGAGGGAGGGTCAGCAGCGAGGGATGCTGGGCACCTGGGTGTCCATATGAAAGAGGCAGAACTATCCCAGAAGGACCCAGGACCTAAATGTAGAACAGTGAGATGTTCAGAAGAAAACACAGTTGGTCAGGCAAGTTTAAACCATAAAGGGAAAGGCTAAGCAAGCTGGGTTTTATCTTTTTTTTTTTTTTCTGTAAGTGAAACTGCTCAGCAAGCAACAAGGTGAGGAAAACAGGTTATGTGAAATTACATAGCTGATAAGGGACTTACACCCAAAATAAAGAACTGTCAAAATCAATAGTAATTAAACACACAATTAATTAACAACCAACTGAATTTACAGGCTTTGGTAAGGAGGGCATCAGATGGTTAAGGAGTGAATGAGCTGTGTAGCAGGGGCAAGGTTTGCAGTGTACAAGACTGAAGTGTGGGCTGAGAGCAAGGGACAGGCTCTCTGTGGAGAGGAACACACACACCCTGGAAAGCACTAGGCAGTGTACAAAGTCGCACGCACACCTACCAGGACCCCGAGATCCACTTTTTGTTTGTCTCTTTGAGATAACCTTGTTTGTCTCTTTGAGATAACCTTGTATGCCGGGCTGGTCTTGAACTCACAGCAATCCTCTTGCTTTCAGCTGAGTGCTGGGGCTACAGGTATGTATATCACACGAGGACCTGAAATCTACTTCTAAGTGTCTACTTGGAGCAATACCAGTGAACTTGGAAATGTCAAAAGACAACCAGACCCAGGGTCACCAGGTAGCCCTCCACCTCAGGGGCTGAACGTTGCGTGCTACCAAACATGGCATGGATTTGGCCATAGGTCCTCAGCTGACCAGTCCCTGCCCAGAAATAAGTGTCTGTTTCCAGGGACCTGTGTACGCATTTAAGACAACTCTACCGTTAATTACCAAACACAAGCCACAGACACCCTCTGTGGGAAACTTGCAGTTGTTACGGGTCCCCAGAGCAGAGGGTAGCCTATAGAAAGAAACAAGATATCTGGGCTCAGTCACCTGGGCACGATGCTCTGTGACAGTCTCCAAAGACAAAATTCACACAGGCAAGAGGATTCAGATAGTCAGGCCAAGACCTGGGAGCCCAAGACACAGCAGGGAAGCATCTGGTTTGACAAATTGTTCTGCATTGTAAAGATACATAGACTGTGCAGTGAAAGTGACATCACCCAGCAGGGCAGTGAGTATGCCCACACACACCGTCTGGTCCTGCCCGTGCCCAGGCATGCAGAGCCAGGTCCAGGATGTGACCCCTTAGGCTTGCAATGTGGGCTGTCCTGAGAAAAGCAAGTACTCAAACCTTCCAGGTGTACATAGAGGCCAGGCCAGGGGTTCAAAGTGATGCTGTGGTCTGATGGATAGACCTTGGAACTGACTGGACCATTCCCCTCCTCCATCCCCTCTCCTGACAGGTAGAAGAGTAGGGCATCAGGGTAGGGAAGCGGTGTCTACAGGAACAACCCTGTCTATTGCTGAGGTAGCTTCTCAGATGTGATCATGTGTAAGACCTACAAGACAAGGCCCCAGGACCTACAGACAGAGCTACAGACATGAGGGTGGGTTGGCAGTGCCCAGGGCTCCCTGTGAAACTGAAGGTGGAATGTTCTGCTGGTCAACCATGGTGACTCCACCCATTCCTTACTTCCGACATGATAGAGACCAGCAAAGAGCTAGCTGGCCTCAGTTTCATTCTACAAGCAGAAGTAAGAATGTTCCACACGCTGAGTGACAACTTTACTGTATGTGTCAGACTGTTCTATATAAACTTGTCAACTTCAAAGTCATCTGAGAGGAGGGAAGCCTCACTTAAGAAAAGGCCTCTATAAGATCCAGCTGTAGGGCATTTTCTCAATTAGTGATCAATGGAGAGGAGCCCAGCCCACTGAGGGTGGTGCCATCTCTGGACTGGTGGTCCTGGGCTCTATAAGAAAGCAGGTTGAGCAAGCCATGAGCAGTGAGCAGTAAGTCGCACCCCTCCATGGCCTCTGCTTCAGTTCCTGCCTCCAGGTTCTGATTTCCTTTAATGATGAACAGTGATGAGGAAGTATAAGCTAAGTAAACCTTTTCCTCCCCAACTTGCTTTTTGGTCATGTTGTTTCATCGTGGCAATGGTGATCCTAACTAATATACTATAACAAACCACCAACAACCCAGGCTCCCAAGGATGGGCACTCGTCCTTTACACCTGTAGCCAACAGTCCACAAGAGCTCTGCCTAAAGGATGGCAGTGTGGGCAAGATACACCTGTCCACAGGTGAGGGATGGCAGTGTGGGGAGGGCACACCTGTCCACAGGTGAGGGATGGCACTGTGGGGGGGGCACATCTGTTCACAGGTGAGGGATGGCACTGTGGGAGGGCACACCTGTTCACAGGTGAGGGACGGCACTGTGGGAGGACACACCTGTCCACAGGTGAGGGATGGCACACC